AAAAAAAAAAAAAAAAGCAGTAGCAGATAAAGATAAGGTTCCCAGTCAGGAATACCTTTATCTCTTAGTCCAGCTGAGAGCCGATTTCAAAGAGAGAAAAAGTGAAGCATGTGCCACAAAATCATTTCTTTTCCGTCTCTCCCAAAGCAAGTGTCCTCTGTCCTGCTTACCCAGTAGTATTTATTAGCGCTTAAAGTAGATGGCTCTACAACTTGACGAGTTTGGGGCCACATCCTACATGTCTAACTAAAGCAGGTCTGCCACATTTTCATGTTTCCCCTCAATGGCTATTTTTCCAAAAGCCGTGCAGGGCAATGATCTTAGACTCATTGGCATACAAAGGAAACAACGCTGCACTGGGCGTCAGATGCCGTAACCTCCAGATTGCAGGATTTTGTGTACTGCATGTGGATGGAAACCTAGAGTCTCCTTGGGCCCTTGCTTCTTTTCTGTAAGTGAAAGATGACCTCGTTTTGAAAGGATGGTGAGAAAGCCTCCCATAAACCATGAAAGACTGTAGAAGGGCTTCTGGGCTTGCGCACCACAACCCTGCCTGTGTGACACTGTGGCGTTTGTGGGAAAATTAGCCTTCTAGCCACGAACCACAGCAGCGAGCGCGGGGCGGACTCTCCTGCATGCTCGTTCTTGGTTGCTGCTGGAGAGCGAGAGCCAGGCACATAGTTTATGAATGAGAGAATTAACTTGCTTAAATCTCCTCACACTGGGCCAAAGAATTGGCTGAGACCATCAAATCAGACCTTAGGAACCGCAGCCTGTTGGAGCTGAGTTTTAACTTAGTGTTTTCTTTTGTCTGGTGTGCTGGGACTCATCTGCAGCTGCCTTAGGAGTGACAACGTTTCTCCCCCTTTCTTTTTTTTTTTTTTTTTGACTGATGGTTGGGTAATTTGTTTCTGTCAAGTGTATGTGTGGGAACTTTCAGAAAAGAGCTCTATACTTGGTGAAAACCGTCATACACGGAAGACACTTTTCTAATATAGATTCTTCCCTTCCTTTACCTGGTCGTTGAGGGTTCTGGATTTGGGGAGTGCTCATATCCTAGCATCCCTCCCGAAGGCATCCTTCATTATAAATTGAGCTGCTTTGGTCAGAATTTATGCAATCATCCAGGCACCATTGACTAATTTAGTAATAGTAATTGTAAAAATAGTAATACCTCCTTATTCTACAGAGCTTGGTTGATAAGAATATTTCTAAATGTTTCAGTCTCATAACTTTAAAAATATTTTTAAAATAAGCTAATTGTGTATAAAGAAATACACCCTCAGAAAAGAAAATCTGAGGGCCAGTCAGATAGCTCAGTGGATTAAAGTGCCTACAAGCAGGTGCAAGGGCCGGGGATTCAATCCCTGGGCCTGCTGTGCCCGCCTCACCCCCATGGGGTGTGCTGAGATGGAGATTGAGACTGGATATGGTGGTGTGCACCTGTAATCTCAGCTCTTGGGAGGCTGTAAACAGGAGAATCTCTACCTAGTAGTGAGACCCTGAACACCCTGTAGGCCCTTCCCCAGTTTCCTACTATACTCCCTGTTTCTCTATTTCTAGTTGAATTTTATGGCAGTAAGTGCTTTTCAGTGAATCTTCTGGTATCTGGTCTCTCTTGTTCTTTATTTTCAAGCTTGAGGCAGTTCACATTTCCAAAGATCTCAAGGAAGGTCTTCATTTGAGTCCTAAATAGCTGGGTCTCAGTTACTCTACTCTCCTAGCTGGGACAAATAACCAACACCCAAAATGAAGGAAGGAAAGGTTTATTTAGCTCTCAGTTACTGGAGGTTTCAGTCCATATTCCTCTGGCTCCAAAGCAGAGTGGCACATGGCAGAGGGCAACCTTCCATGGCAGGGGCAAAGACCAAGAGCAAAATGGAGGAGTAGCAAAAACAGTGGCAACAGAGAAGAAGTCTGTCTCTGTCTGTCTTACGCTGTATCTATCCTATCCACCCCAGCCTGTGTATAGCGCTCACACCCATAATCCCAGCAGTACTCAGAACCATAATCCCAGCTTTGGATCATGAATTAATAACAAACTGTAAGACTGGACATAGTGGTGTGCCCTGTAATCCCAGTTCTTGGGAGGCTGTAAACAGGCAGGTCACTATGAGTCTGATCTAGTAGTGAGACCTTGAACACCTTGTAGACCCTTCCCTAAAATAAAAAATAAAAAATAAAAATCCCAACAACAACAAAAACCAACTGTAGAACTGCACCTCAATGACTGCATGAGGCTTTGCTGGGGGGAACAAATACACATAAACCATAACAAGCTGCATGGATTGGAGCAACTTTTCCCAAACTGTGTTTTGTGTTAAGATTCTGGGGGTGGGAGGAGGGCACTGTTTTGTTTGGCTTTCTTCACATGGAACAATAGCAGGAATCTAGCAGCTTACAGCCACCATTCATTACATCACAGTTTCTGTGGGTCGCAGGTCTGGGCACAATACAGTTAGTGAATTTCTTCAAGGTAGCTCACAGGGCTTTGGTGGCCTGCCGAGCAGGGCTGCTTGCTGCTGTGGGCCTGGTTGGGAAAGACTTTCTCCCAAGTTAGACAGCAGAATTCAGTTTCTGAAGGGCTATCAGACTGGGGCTCTTCCTTCTTAGCTGGCTGTCAGTCAGACCAAGCCCTCAATTGCTTGCTGTGTGAGCTTTTCCAACACAGCTACTTGCTTCACCAAAGCTTGAAAGCCGGGAAAGCAACAGATCAAGCTACCAGCGGGAGAGAAGCCACCGTTGTGTATGACAGAACTGCAGAGGGGGTGTCCTGTCACCTTGGCGCTTTTGTGTAGACACCGGGTCCCTGTCATACCACACCTGTGGGAAGTAGATTACCCAGGGGGTGAAAACCAGAAGCCAGCAGCCAGTGAGAAGCATTTTAGTCTTCTTGCCTTGGAGGAAGGGAGGCTGGAGAAGGAAGGGAGAGAAGGGAAGAAGAGGGAGGGGAGCGGGAACTGAGGTCAGGGATTGTGTTAAACTAAGACTGAAAACAGCTGCATATTACACGGCTTATTTGGGGATTCGTAAGGCCTCTGCATGTTTGGTGAATTTCATGTAATGAAGTATTTTCTGAAATGTTCAGCTCAATAGAATCTGCAAAATGTAAAATTACATTTTTCTATTCATCTAAAAATATAATTCCAGCACTGGGTGATTATGGATATATGGTTATGGATATAGATATGGAACCCAAGAGATTCTGTACTTATGCATTTCAGTGATGATTTTTAAAATTAGTAGAATCAGTTAGTGTTTGGAGTGAGCACCTCATAGCTAAGTACTGTTGTGAGGTTTCCTTCCCTGATGAGTACAGTTGTGGTCACGCTGACACCAGTTTTAGTACATCAGTGATTGGAGACTAGCCATAAAGGATTTGCATGTCCTTAAGGGAAGTATTTTAGGTCCTACTGAGGGCTGAAGTTCATCATATACACACACACTTTAGAGCAGTTGAGAGACATGTGTTAAGATATGTCATTACATATCAAGGCAGTCTAAGGAATACTGGTGCAAAGAACCTGGGCCGGGTCATTTGGTAGAATGTCCATGTATAATATATGTAATGTGCCTTTTATCTTCAGCAAAAAAATATTTACTTCTGTGATATGTAATTATTCTATGCTCCTGCTTCCTTGTAAACTAAGTGCTTTTGATATGATAGTTGTGCAAAACTAGGAAAGTAATGAGCAGATACTTTTATGACTAGAAAGATGGAAGTAAAACTATATCACAAAGATGTGTGAGTACTGGAGCTTCTGAGGGAATATGTGCTTTAAGAGAGCAGGCTGAGATATGCTATCGCATTCTTTTCGTACCGTTAATCACTGGACGTCACGCAGCTTTTACCCTAAGTAGAGCAGTAAGCAGTCAGGTGGTGGTGTTCCCTGGTGCTCCCTGTCTGACCAAACTGTGCGACAGAGGCTAGCAGGCCTCACTTGCATTGTCTCCATGTCCTTCCACCGATGTGCTTGCGGTCCCTGTGTTGGTGGCCGTTGCTCTTCTTGGGGAGGATGGAGGACCCGTGCCTTCCTCCCTACCCTCATGCCCACTTGGAGAGCTCCTCGTATACATGGGCACTTACCAGGTCCTTAGCCTTATTAGGAGTTTTACAAGAGGAAGAAGAAACACACACACACACACACACACACACACACACACACACACTATTTTCTGCTTAGCTTCTGGTTCGTGCCATTTTCACTCTGTGACTTCTAAAGAGTTCTTTACTGCCACAGCTTTTTCTTCCATCCTGCCATACGAGGACAGGACCTTGTCAGGCCTGGATTTGTAATTTCACAAAATAAAATGTGATCTCAATGCATTACTCTCTGAGAAGATGACATGAGGATGATGTTTCTAAAGTTTCAGGCTCTCTACAGAGACAGCAGCCTACAGGAAACTCGTGGAAAAGGCATGAAAAGATTTTATCGAGAAAGCAAAGAGAAAAAATTACTCCAAGGACAAGACGGCAGCAGTCAGTCAAGCAGTGGGAAGGACCTCGGCTAAGGAGGCCGGATGACTTGGTGTGCCTACCTGGTTTCCGAGGACAGGTGTCACTCTAGGTCACAGGGGAACTGAGCTATGCCTGTCGTGCCTTGTGGACAGAAACGTGTCAGCAAGCCACTCTCTGCTGAACCACGACAGATGTAGGAATGAAAGCCCGTGAAGAAGAGCAGGTCTTATTAGAGGAGAAGCCCATGAAGTGCCCAGTGTATTTTTTTTTTTTTTTTTTCAGAACCGGGGATTGAACTCAGGCCTCTGCACTTGCCAGGCAAGCGCTTATTCTACTGAGCTATTTCCCTGGCCTGCCCAGGGTATTTTTGAGGATTCTCCTGAATAAATAAAATGAAAGAAAGTAGTTTATCCCAAAATAAAGAACACATCTCATATGTTACTGTGCTGTAACAGGGATACCTGGTAGTCACATAGCTGCCTTGTTCTGTAATTGATGTTTGCATTCCTAAGTAGCCAGGAGGAAACTGATGCTCCCAAGCTGTCCATGGAAAGCTGTCGTGTGCTCCATGCCTCCCTTCTTGAGGACAGAAGCAACAGGGAAAATAACGTGCTCTGTCCCTGTAGGTGGCCCCCTGCTCTACGAGAACGTCACCTTCGTGTACAACTCAGAGCAGCTGAACGGGACCCAGCGCGTTCTCCTGGATAACGTCCTGTCTGAAGAGCAGTGCCGGGAGCTGCACAGTGTGGCCAGAGTGAGGACACAACGGGAGAAGAGCCCCACTTACCCCACTGGCCGGTCAGGAGTCTGGGCGGGCTGTGGCTCAGGTCCACGTCGATGCACGGAATAAGCCTAAAACTGCACTTGCTTTGAGATGACAGCTTTGGTGGCAGGGTCCTTCCTAGGGTTCAGACTAGAACGATTGTCACTGGCCAGATGACTCTGGGTGACGGTGGCTTAATCCTGGGACAGTGGCTCTCAGCTTATGCCCTTCCTACCAGTGGAAGTCTCTAGAGAACCTCTTTATTTTAATCAATAATTTACATATATGTATATATGCATTTACATTCCACTTCTATAAAAGGTATAACATTTTATAAGGAAAATTTAGAGTCAAGATGACATAAAGATACCACTTGATGTGGGAGAGTTAATTGTACCTGGCTCCACCAACAGTGGGAGGGGTTCTGAGTGGGCATGTGGGTTCCCTGCTTCCTGGCACTGGAGCAGAAGGGACCGAGGCTCCACCTGAGTCGCTGTCCCTGAGAAAGCATCTTGCTGTGTTTTGCTTCCAGGGCATCATGCTCATTGGCGATGGATACAGAGGAAAAACTTCACCCCACACGCCCAATGAAAAGTTTGAAGGCGCAACTGTCCTGAAAGCACTCAAAGTAAAGTCAACCCCGGGGCTGGGGTTCCTAAGTAGGGGTCTAAGGCCTGTGTGAATGGCAGACACAGAGACGACTGGGGAGCGAGTCTGAAATGAGAGCTGGCGGGTGCTGGGAGCTGGGCCAAGGCCACTCGCTGGAGGCTGCCCCTCCAGTCGCGTCCGTCGTCTTCCATCATTCCTTCATTCAGTCATTCATTCAGTCCTCTTCGCATTTCCTGAGTTTGTACCTTATGGACAAGTGCAACCCCTGTCTTCAAGGGGCTCATGGTCTAGTTATAAAAACAGGCCTCAATAGGTAACTATTCTCTATCACAAGAAGTGTCCTTAGGGAAGAGCGAGGACTGGCTTATGGGAGGAGAGAGGGAACCATGAGCTTCTGCCCTTCCTCTCTTCCTTGGCTTGTTGTCCTCACCAAAATCCGCAAGCCCCGGATCAGCACAGATGTCACCCCTGTCCGGTGAAGCCCCTGTACGGTGAAGCCTAATGTCTGTTTCGAGTCCTCCTGCCTCCCAGGGGCGCCTAACATCTTTTGATCCTTTCAGTTTGGTTATGAAGGCCGAGTCCCGCTGAAGAGCGCCCGTCTATTCTACGACGTCAGTGAGAAGGCTCGAAAGATCGTGGAGTCCTATTTCATGCTGAACTCCACCCTGTACTTCTCCTACACGCACCTGGTCTGCCGCACGGCCCTGTCTGGTGAGACGTCACGGTGCACCTTGCACCCTTCTCCTCACGGTTCGGTGGGAAATGCGTCACTGAAAATCTGTGTTTCTAAAAAAGAGAAAAGGGACCAAAAAGCTTTTGA